AAAGAAGGACATAGTAAATTAAAAAGAGAAATCTATGAGTCAATTAAAAAGGAGAAATGAAAATGGGTGGGGGGAAAAAACTAGAGAGAGGAGAGGAAGAGGGACAAATCATCATCATCAACAACAAAAGCAACAATAATAAACAAAACCAAAAAATTAAATTCAGAATGATTTCAAGAAGAAAATTAAAATCAGTAATGACTCCTCTCTCTCATTCATATATATATAAATATATATATGAGGTAACAATATATATTTTTATATATCAAGAAAAGTATTGGGGAAATTGTATGTCAAAATGGAAAAAGTTTAGAATAGAAGATCTGCTAGGAATGGTGAAATGTTGTCAGAGCCAGTGTGCAAATTTACTGTGGTTGACCTTGCAATCAAGGCACTCTCTTGATATTTATGTCATAGTGAATTATTTTCTCCTTTGATCAGAGTAGTACTTTTTATGTCAAAATTGTGGTCAGTCTTGTTATGGTGGGAAAACCAACACATTTGACATATTGTTTTGTAAAATGTTTCTTTGTGATGAAAAGAAAAAGACTCTAAATGAATTCAGTTTGATATAAAAAGACAAATTCTAAAATTCCCAGCATCTCTTAGTCATCCACATGTGTAGCCATACCAACATAACAAATTTAGTTTGATAAACTCCTGAAGGACAAAATGAGTCACAAATACATTTTTCCCACTTTGTCATACAATTTCCCCATATATATATATATATATATATATATATGGTTGACTCTCCCGTCATCATACTCGATGTATGATGGTTAAGCAGCTCAGTTACTAGGAACCGACAGCCCAGACACCAGCACATATGATTTGATTATAGTGGTGAAGGCATTATGCAGAAGCAACCACACTTTTTGAAGCGTTTAATACAGAGACTTGGTGCACTACATGCCACAAGATCCCCAAATGACCCTCCACAGGTTTTGAATTCAGAGTTTTCAGTTGCCATCCAAGGCTATAGAACCAAGTCTGTCCTGCTATTTACCCATAGCTGGAGGGAGAAGAAGAGGATTAATAACTTTCCCAAGGGTATTAGCACATAAGTGAATGTAATGGATTCGACTGGAATTCGAACTCACCTCTCCTCATTCCTCGATCTGAGCCGCTATCCACTACTCCATCATGCCTTATATATATATATATATATATATATATATATATATATGTGTGTGTGTGTGTGTGTGTGTGTGTGTGTGTGTGTGTGTGTGTAAGTGAAAGGTGACCAGGAAATGATAATTTAAAAAACAGGTGAAGAGTGATGTATTTGCCTTTAAACTCAGTTTGCTACACTATAGATTCCCCATTTGTTAATCACTAGCAGTAAAAATTACTTTTGGAAAATTAATCAGAGCCAGCATTTTAAAAAAGGAAGGGAGCTAATTCTGTGTTGCCAAATCAATTGTTTATTATGACACTGACTTTTAACAAGAACTGAAGCATCAAAAGTGAGAATAACAAAGAAAATAAATCAGTAATCTCTTTAGATGATGTGTTCTGGAAATTTTATTTGTTTTCTTTTGGTATTCTTTTCAAAAACATAATATCTTAATTGAAGCCATCTCATTTAACTTGTTTTTTATCTTTTTATTCTAATTCTCCAAAAACACATACAACATAAATAAATAAGCATTTGAAAATTTTCAGGAAATCAATGTCAGAGAAAAATATTCATGATCTTTCTATGGACAATATGTGAAGAGCATCAAACAGGATACCATTTTGTAAAGTGCTTAATATCTTCAGATTTACAAGAGTATTATTTGATAATATTCTCCCAAGTGATAAGAGGAAGATAGAACACAAACTATCTTTTTTTGTTTTACAGTAGATAGTGATGTTAACCCTGTACAAGGCCCAAAAGCCACTCAAGGTCGAGGGTTACAGAATAAGATGCAAAATGCAAATTTTATGGGAATATGTGGGGAAGATAACAGTTAACCTTAAACTTCAACAAGTTAAGATTGTAGCGATCAGGGGAGCATTCTCTCGGCAGTTAGTTCCACAAAGCAGTGATGAGCACTTTTCATGGAAATAGTAATAGAGCAGTGAGCAGCTTGCAGCTTTTTGTCTGTGGGAAAGTGGTTGTAGGGTGGAAAATAATTTCACACCCACAAGGACATGGAGATGCTTTTGGACGTTATTGAGAATGGAAAGTGAAGATTTGGCAGCTCCTGCCCATATATGACAGCAGTACTTTTTGCATGATCTGGCTCTTGTAAAGGTAGAGAATAGCAGGAGGAGTCAGATACTTACTGGAGCGGTACAGAGAACTGACCATTTTTCCAGTATCTTATGTATGTATGATTTTCACTTGAAATATGGGTTGAGTTGAAGTTCCAATAGGTACAAGGCCTTCCTAACTCATTCACAAAGAAAAAAGAAAAGAAGAAATCAGATAAAGGGTAAATCCAAAATTTTTACGTTCCAAAAATAGTTGAGGTGATTTAAAAAAATTATTTTTCCTTTTTTTTTGGTCCCATTTTTTCTTTTGAAGACAGTTTGCATACAACATGAAATTGACTAGACATAGGGAGATTTCTTAATAATTCCTCTTACTACATCAGTTCAGACTTTTACTCAGTTTGTTATTTAGATTCATTGTCTTTTAATTATACCTGGCATGCAGGCATAGTAGTAGACACAAAATGTGTGCACATATTTCACAGAAAAACTCTAGACTCAATATGAATGCCTGTTTACTTGAAGGGTATAACATTTCTTATAACTTATTTACTATGCATGCTTAAAAGTTGAAACTTTACAGATTAATAATTTGATATATGATAAATTCATTTTTATCTTTCTTCATAAATTATAAGTTGGTTAAATTTTATTTCAAGTTGATATCCACTCAGTAGGGGATATTGTATCTAATTAATAATTTGCAACAAAAAGAAGTTTTTATTTTATCTTAATTAATAAAATATGTTCTAATATTGTGTCCACTATAATTTGAATATTTTGACCATTAAAAAAACACAACAGAAAGTTTTAAGAAACAGGAGAATTTCATCATTAGAAACAAAGGAAAGAGTAGTAGAATGTTTATGTAGTATTTTTTCCACCAATATGGTAGAGAATGCTGGATAATCTTCTCACAGATGGAGAAGTGACTTGAGACAACAGAAATGTGATTTTACAGAAGGACAGTGAGAATACCATGAACTAAACATGTGAGAAATGATAAAGTTTTAAGGAAAATGGAAACAAATGTGACACTTATACTTAAAGAGAGCTGAAATTTCTAGAGCATATAATGAGGAAATAGGACTTGGAAAATTTAACACTCACAGGACATATTGAAGACAAGAAGGACAGAAGAAAGCAGAGAATAACTTCCCTAACAAGCTTGTGTAAATGGTTGGCAGAACAGGAAGTAGGAGAAATATCAAAAAGTCAAACACTGCAAAGATCTACAAAGGACAGGAAGTTGTGGAAAGCTATAACTGCCCATGTCCTAAATGGACATGAAATAAGGAAGAAGAATGATTTATTTTTTGCTCAAATTTCAAATCAGATCTTTATGATTGGTCAATCTTCAATAACAAGTATCATCTCCAACTATTAATAATAGAATCTGTGCATCTCAGTTGAGAGTGATTCATTTTGATTTGCATCAATAAATATATGACTAAACAAAGGATTCAAGGCTTTTTTTTATTAAACCTATTGCTAAAGAGATAAACAAGATAATGGCTTGCAGTTTAATGACAAAAAATATTCATTAAGATTAGTTTACATAGAAAATAATATGATTCAGTGATTGGTTTACCAAACCAGATGTCCTTTAAGTGCATTATTTAATTCCAAGTAATAATTTTTTACAATAAAAATAAAAAGGAAACTATTAACTAACAAGAAAACAGAGCTAGACAAAAAGATACAACTGACAAAATGATAAAGGGACTAAGGTGATCGAGATGCTTATTAAGATTTCTGATAATTCTATCACAATAATATTAACCAAAATATTAAGTACTAGCAGTAGAGCCCGGCGTTGCCCGGGGATGTAACAGTAAGAGATAGATCAAGTATCGACCATCATAAAGACTGAAAAATAAAATTGACAAAGATTATTGTTTAAGGTTGACGGACATGCATGTCTTAATTATTTTTTTTTTTGTTGTTTTTTTTTTTACAGATTGGTCAAACCCAAACTCAAACAAAAACATTGTTTTCAATCGTTATGAGTCTATTGATTGAATAGAATTTTATTATAAACAATTGTCTTGTAAATGGAATTTTTAAAGCATTCTGAATGTAAAAATAAAGAAAAAAGTGTGCAAGACAATAAGAAACACTACCTGCCAAAAAAAAAAATGAAGTTTTGTTGAAATCGGTTGAAAAATTTAGGAAATCCAATCCCATATATAAAGAACACACACACACACAAAAACAAACAACCTGGGTTTTATAATAAATATAACTCGATATTAATAAGTATAACTTGATATGAGTTGTCCCCCTTTCATTAATGCCTCTTAATCGTGTTTTCAAATTGATTTCATGCAAAAACAATTGTGTTTTTCCAATTTTGGGGGCGGTCAGAACCACCGCAAGGTAATTTTACGTAGTCCTGTGAAGTTTTGTTGAAATCAGTTGAAAAATGTAGGAAATCCGATCAAATATATAAACGTACAGACACACACACACACACACACACACACACACACACACACACACAACCTGGGTTTTATAATAAGTAAGATTTAATAACAAAGACAAAAACATTGACTTTGAGATGTCCTATTAATTTTAGGGGAAACTCTTTGCATCAAGTAAATACTATCAATATTGTTTGAACTTTTAAAATAAACCATAATAACTCATCAACAAATTGTTTCGACTTATATTCTCATTCTTGTTGGTTTTATCATTATATTTTGAGCAATGTTATACAAGTCATCGCAAAGTTAGGGTTCAAATGATATGAAATATAAAGGAAATATCCATCTGACCTCTAAAACTTCAGAGAATAAAATGTCATAATCTAAGATATCAAGAAGTCTGGTATACCAGAACATATTAGTAAAAAAAAATGGAGAACCTCACTTTCTTTGGGATAAGGTTAAAATGATAAGAAAATTCACAGAATGATATGTAAAGTAAAGGAGGCTGCTTACATCAATCTGAGAAAAGGCTGCATCAACAAAGTGTATATAGAGTTCAGGGTAAGTAACTATATTGAACAGAATAAAAATTAATTCTTCATCTATGTGCTGTGTTCTCTCAGAACATTGGCAATTATGGCTCTTCACAATTTCTTGTCCTTTGTTACTCTTAGTCAATTTTATCTTTTTGCTATCTTTCCTCAACCCTTCCATTCATTTAGACAATCACATTAGGTAGGTTATGTCCTATTTTCCTTTGTCTCTCTTGCATTCAGTTTGTCATATGAGTATCAAATTTTCTAAGCCCTCTTTCCTTTTTATGTGCTCTAGAAATGTCAGTTCTCTTTGATGGTAAGTATAGATGTCCTTTTTGTTTCCATTTTCTTTAAAACTTTGTTTCTCATATGTTCAGTCTATGGTATTTTCAGCATTCTTCTGTAGAACCACATTTCTTTTGCTTCAAGCCTCTTGATCTGTGAGAAGATTGTCCATCATTCACTGTCATATTGGATGTACTTGGCTGTTGCCTTACTTGATACTGTGTATTTGAAAAACATGGCTGTCATTGATTATAAGCCTTCTGGCTAAGATCAAAGTGTAGTATCTGTTCTTATCAACTTAATAAGCTGATTCTCTCTCTCACCACTTCTATCTTTCCTTCTCTTCCTTCCTTCCTTCTTTCTTTCATTTTTTTGCTGATACCAAGTAATGTTTTCCAGGTGAACAAAACACAGAATAATTCATTATTTATGACGTATTGGCAGGGTGTGCTGACTAACGAAGGTAGGGACAAACACAATTATAATAGGATAGGAATTCCTTCTGACCAGAAAAAAACTATTCTCAAAGAAACTTTGATGAATGCATCATTCATAACAGTGATAAAAACAAGGATAAGAATTCTAGCACAACCATCTTAGAACAATTTATAGATTTTATACTGCGAATTTTACAATTATTTATTTTGATGCCATTTAAGCTATCAGTTACAATCTCTTAGGTATGACTATTTATTACTGAACATTACAGTAAATGTAGCACAAGGTCAAGGGTGGGTGGTCAGTTTTACAACGTCCTGCCTTTGACCTATCCATACAAATATTATTCCTTTTACCATAATGTCACATTTATGTTTACCAGTCACCAAAATAGCTCATTTGCTCAATGTATTTCTTAACTAAAAAAATCTATGTACAATTTTTGTGGGGGTGGAGTAAAATTACTAATCCCCAATGATTTTTACAATGGCCTAAAATATCTACAAAACTAGATAAAACTGTGTTAGTGTTTTTGCCAATCACCATCTTCTGTCTTCCTGAATCCTGATCTTTTATTGTCCCTTCTCCCCACTAAAGTCATCTCATTCTCTTTCCTTCCCAGTATCCCCTTGTGTTCTAGTGGCATTATTGTCTTGCTTGGGTGAACTGATTAAAAAATAAAAAAAATAAAAAACGTTAAAGATAATTCTTTTTTTAATTCATTAAAATAATGTATTATTTTAAATAAACTGATCCAATCAACCTTCATTATACTGAAACTCATATATTTGCAGAAAAAAAAAGAAAACTCAATTCAATGAATAGTTAAAATAAAATTAAAATAACATT